GGGCTCCCAAAAAGTGTCCTCGACGTTGAACATCACTTGTGGTGGGGAGGAAGAAGAGGAGAAGACGAGGAACAGCAGGAGGGCGACAGGGGAAGGTCTCCATTGCCGAGACCCATGGGGATGGGTGGTCCGTGCACTGAAAACCTGAGCATCCAAAGAGGTGGGACAGGCTAGAGGAGGGGACAGGGGGAAGGCACCAGCAGTCTCCCTGTCCATGTGGCTCCTTACCCCCACCCAACCCATGGCCGGGGAACCCTGCTAGCACCCCAGGAAGACGGGGTGCCCGTGGGAAGATGCATCCCATGGGTTTTTCCCTTGCTGCGGGGCTGCACCAGCCTCTGTGGTGGGAACACCGCTCCCTGACGCTGCTCCCTCGTGCCGTGCCAGCCTGGCTGGGGTCTCCCGCAGCACCACCATCCTGGTGGCTTACCTCATGACGGTGACCGAGCTCGGCTGGGAGGACTGCCTGGCCGCCACCAAGGCCGTGCGGTCCTACGTCAGCCCCAACTTTGGCTTCCAGCAGCAGCTGCAGGAGTACGAGGTGACTTTGCTGCAGGAGGTACGTCCTGTGCCGACATCCCCTTATATACGTGTCTGCAGAGTTTGCAAGCAGGCACGGCTCTTTTGCATGTAGCTCTCTGCAGGGGCCAGCTGTTTGCCCGAGCTGGCCTTTGTGCATGCTATTTATTACCTGGGGATTTTGGGTTTTGCATGCAAGAAAACAAAAAAAGAAAAGAAAATTTAAAAAAAAAAAAAAGAATTGGACAAGTGTTGAAGGACGTATAAAGGTAGACATTATGCGAGTGCACTTTAAAAAGCTCTTTAAAACCCCAGTGCTTTTCTCGAGAGTTCAGTTAGGACACAGCGGGAGGGACAGGCGAGCATCAAGTCCCCCGGCAGCCCCGGGAATGGCACTGGGCCAGTTCCTGGGAATGCAGCGCAGCGGGAGCTGGAGGCGGAAAGGGGGAGAGGAGAGGGAGGAAGGCTCTTGTGAGCAGCTTCGGGATGTCTGGGTGTGCTTGGATCTGGCAGGGCTTCCTCTAACAGCAAGTCCTCTGCTTTTAGAGGCGGGCGACAGAGAGAAACAACAAGTGTTGATGGAGAAATTCTCCTCTCCCCTCTCCAAAATGACGCGGAGCAGCAGGTTTTAGGAGAGCAGAAGCCCTGGCTGGGTGGGTTCCCGTGCAAGGGAGGGATGTTGTGGCTGAGCCGAGCTGGATGCCGGCAGCTGGGAGCGACAGCGGCATGTTTACTCGGGAGAGCACTAGTTGTAGAGATCAGAGCTGCACTTTTGACCCGGAAAGCCTTCAAAAACAAAGGGAAAGGCCTTTAAAAGCACAGCTCCCGCCCGGCTTGCCGGCTGCCCTCCAGCCTCCTGCGCTGGACCCTGCTCCTCTGCCCAGCCCCAGGCTCCGCAGCGAAGGACTGGGGTCCAAAACTGCCCCGGGAGGGCACATGGCCACAGCTGGACCCCTGCAAGGAAAGAGTAACCCCCAACTCGACCTGTACAAGGCGTCTCACAGCCCACATCACCCCTAAACTTGGTGCCATCCCTGGAGGCGAAGCCCCCCCATCCGCTGTAGCCACGAGCATCATGCAATGGCCCCGTGGCAAACAGTGGCAGAGACCCGGCGGGCCCGCCGGCCACACCCAGCGGGTCAAGGGGATTTCTCTCCTCCCCGGAGAG